GCTGAGAATTTCCTTCTTTCATTATATGAAAGTGTTTATTTACCTGCGTCTTCATGCACACTGGTTATTGTTGTTATTATTATTCATTTTTATTCTTTGCCCCTTTACTGGGAGAGATGAGAACATGGAGTCCCTCTCCTCATGATGCTCACATTCTGCAAGGAAAACTGAACAGTAATCTCATGACTCGTGTTGTGTTCCATGGGGTGCAGTTGTGTTTGATGCCTGCTAGGTGGTCAGGAAGGTATTGTGAGCTTTCATTCAAAGACCATGAGGGAGCATTTACCAGACAAAATGATAGGAAAAGTTTCCATGGGAGAAAGCAGCTGGTGGACAGGCCCCATGATCGGGAAGACACTGAGCAAAACCAAGCTGTGGACACCCGTTCACCTCTCCACTTAATACATGGCAGCTGTCTCTGCCCTCTGCCCTGCGGATGGTTCTGGGCATCTTTAGTTACTGTCTTTGGTATGAGATCCTGTGTTTTCCTGCTGGGTTAGCCAATCAAAAGGAATTAAGACTTTATTTGAGCAGCAGTGTGTAAAGTTTTTCATTTAGTTTTGACTTTCAGATTCACATGGAAATTGCAGACTGTATCACCCAAACCCAGTGATGACATCACAATACTGTCCTAGACAACAGCATGTCAGTTGTCACACCAGAAACTCGACCTCAGCACAGAACTGCTCATAAGACCCAGGCTTTGTCTGGATTTCACAGCTCTGCACACAGGTTCACATTTTTGGCCTGTTGTGCTGTGAGATGATTTGACTGGTGGACAGTTCCATGTGGCTAGCCCTGTATTCAGGAAGTGGAATGTTCCAGAGAAACCCAGAAGCCCAAAGATACCTGCTTAGGCTTCCCTTGTCAATCACATCTTGCCTGCTGGTGTATGTTTGTGTGTGTGTCTGTCTATGTCTGTGTGTATGTGTCTGTGTGTGTTCACATGCATGCACACGTGCAGGCATGTACATAGACTCCAGAGGTCAGCATCAGATATCTTCCTCAATGGCTCTCCGCCTTACTTTAAAAAAAATATTTATGATTTTTATTTTAAGTATATGGGTGTATTGCCTGCATGTATGTAAGTGCACCTGTGTCATGCAATGCTGCAGAGGTCAGAAGAGAGCACCGAATTCCCCTGGAACTAGTTACAGATGGTTGTTAGCCGCTATGTAGGTGCTGGGAATCAAATCCAGGTCCTCTGCAAGAATAGCCAGTGCTCTTAATCACTGAGCCATCTCTCCAGCCTCTCCACCTTAGTGTTTTGAGGCAAGGTCTGTCACTGAACCTAGAGCTCACCTATTCATCTTGGCCAGCTGGACAGGTAATTCCAGGGAGTCTCCTGTCTCTGTTTCCTCGGTGCTGGGATTACAGATGAGTGCCATCACACCCATCCAAACTCAGATCCTCGTGCTTGCACAGCAATCACTTTACTGAGGGCCATCTCCCCAGCTCCTGCTATTTTTTTTAACATTTTATTTATTTATTATGTGTATGAGTGTATTGCCTGCATGCATGTAAGTGCACCTGAGTTGTACAATGCTGCAGAGGTCAGAAGAGGGCTTCAGATTCCCCTGGAACTGGAGTCAAGGGTGGTTCGTAGCCGCCATGTGGGTTCTGATCATAAACAATGGCAGATTTTGGCATGAAACTTGAGCTGCAGTGACATGGGACATATCTTTAAGTGTTATCTTTATTTTTAATTTAATTTTTTGAGACAGGGTCTCACTCTAGCCCTGGCTGACTTCCAACTCACTATGTAACCCAGAACAGCGTTTAAACTTGCTATCCTCCTGTCTCTGCTTCCCAAGTGCTGGCATTACAGGCGTGTACCACCATGTCCAACCCATAACCTTGATACTGAGCAGGTCTATGTAGATCAGTTCTAGCTCAGCAAGTGTTCCAGCTGATTGGAGATTTCTTTGGGACAAAAGGACGGTAATGCCACTGTGATTGGAACTTCCGGGTGTCTGCTCTGTGCTTGCTATACAGGCAGGTCTCTTTTTAACCCTTTCAACAACCAAGGCAGGAGAGGCAGGAGAATGTGGCCATTTTTTCCCATTTTACAGTTGAGGAACACAGAGCTCAGAGAGGGCACTCACTTTCTTAGGAACACACAGCAAGGTGTTAAGTGATAAATGTAGGCTTCCACCCAGTCTGCCTAGTACCAGATAGCACACCTTTCACTTGACCAGCCAAGTCTGTGTCTGCCTGCCGTGTGACCTCTAACCTCCATCAAGCCACTTCTCTGTGCTCCCAAAGCCATTGGGCATCAGAACAAGGCCCATTCCAACTCTTAGATACTGTTAATTTTTACTTATTAGATGAATTTTCAAGGAATTAGAATCATCCCACTGTTTCTCTCACAAACCCCACAACCTTCTGCGCGGACATTATGTTAATACCATCCCATATTTGTCAGGGCCAAATTTTGGAGGTTTGAGGTTTGGCATTTGTATTTGTTTTGTTTTGACTCATTAGGGCAGGATGACCTGTCAGCACAGGCTTTGCACATATAGCACAGCTAGACAGCCTTTTATTGCTTCAAGTAAGAGCAGAGCAGAAGTCCCCTGGGTGCCTTTCGTACTTTCTATCACCATGTCACCCATTCAAGACCTGACAGAAGCAGGTGGAGCCATCCAGGCCTCTGCAGCCTTTTGACTCCCAAAGCCCTCGAGGCCGTGGAGTAAACAGGTGCCCATTGAACCCTGGGTCGAGTGCCTGTTGTTGACTGTTTTGCTCAGGTGTCCTTTCCACAGCCTATGAGATAGGGCAGCTGAGGCTCTGAGTGGTACCTAGTCTACCCATGGTACATCCTCTGCTGGTCTCCAGACAGACCTACGTGTCCTTTCCTTTCTCACTAGCAAGTACTATGAGAAAGAGGCCCTCCTCATGGACCCTGTGGATGGCCCCATCCTGGCATCTTTGCTGGGTAAGTGATTGGCTGATCTGGGATGCATCTGGACTTGGCTCTTAAGTCTCCGGGGACCGGCTCATGCTCTCAAGGGCCTTTCTCTGGTGTCTTCTTGTAGGACTCTGAGTTGTCCCCACTGCCTGGAGGGAAAGGGAGTGACCTGGGGGAACTACCCTGGGGCAGTTGGGTGCAGGGATTTCTGGGGGCTCCAAGTTCCCAGCCCTGTGTGCTCCACAGTGGGGCCCTGTGCCCTGGAGTATACCAAGATGAAGACTGCAGACCACTTCTGGACCGACCCCTCCGCTGATGAGCTGGTCCAGAGACACCGCATTCACAGCTCACACCTGAGGCAGGACTCACCCACCAAGCGGCCAGCACTCTGTGTGAGATGGGTGGGCAGTGGGAGGGACTTGAGGCAAGATGTGGAACCTGGCCTAGGAGCAGGGAGCAGGGTAGGTGTCCCGAAGGTCACTCACAGCCTTTCCCTCTGTCTCCCATCCTGATGTCAGATCCAGAAGAGGCATTCTAGTGGCAGCATGGACGACCGGCCATCCATCTCTGCTCGGGACTATGTGGAGTCCCTGCACCAGAACTCCCGGGCCACCCTGCTCTATGGCAAGAACAATGTGCTGGTTCAGCCGGTGAGTGCAGGATAGGCCCAGATTGCACCCTGAGGGTCTGACTCCAGATTAGAGAAGGGGTTCCCTCTAGCTCCAGGTTGTCCAACCTACCACCCCTTCATCCACCCACCCACTCATCTGTCCATTTATCTTTTTATCAACAGCTCCATCTATCCATCCATTCATTTATCTGTCAGTATAACTATGCACTTCTCCACCCAACCACTCATCTCTATGTTGTTTCATCCACCCAGCCAAGTTTCCATCCATCCACTCATCGATCCATCTGTCCATCTGTGCATCCGTCCATCCATCTGTCCATCCATTCACTAATCTGTCCATCCATTTGTATATCCATCCATCTATCCGTCCATCTAAACACTAAGCCAATCTACCCATTCATTCATTTGTCAATAGCTCCATGCATCCATGCATTCATCCATCTATCCATCCGCCTATCTGCCTACCTTCCTCTCCATCCATCATATATCTAGCCACATACCCACCGTTCATTTATTCATTCAAGCATCTGTCAATATTCTCACCCATCTATCCATCCATCTTCAGTCAACTATCCATTCATCCATCTACCTCCTCCATCTGGCAGTGTAGCCATTCACCATCCATCCATCCATCCATCCATCCATCCATCCATCCACCATTCAGTCATCTGCTAAAATCTCCAGCCAGCTTCCCAGCTAATCAGTTCTTCCAAACTCTCTGCCCACCCATTCTTCCATTCATGCATCCACCCACCAGTTCTTAATCCATGTATATCTGTATCCACTCACTCATCCATCTCTCCATCTTTCCACACACCCAGTTGTCCACTTCTTTTCAAGTTCACCCCTGCACCCCACCTACCCAGCTGTCCACCTGACTGTTCACTACGCAAATATTTACACAGACCCCTGTGTGGCAAAGGCATCATATTGTCAAGGCTGCCACCTTCCTCCCTGGCACGGGGCGAGTACTTACTGTGAAATGCTTTGAGCTGCATTAACTCTTGGAGTTGAGTCCTGTAGAAATGATGACATTGAAGTCTGCACAGGTGAATTATGGGGTAGGATTATGCTTTGCACTCAGGCCAGCTGCTGCCGTCAGTAGTCAGTAGTCAGCTTCTGTACTCCAGCCCCTGGCCAAGCATGCGGGCAGAGCATGAGGCAGGAGCAGCCCCTGCCCTCACAAGGTGCCCCTCTGCTGTCCTCTCCCCAGGGTCATCATGTTGCAGTCAGCATGATAGGCTGCCCTGGGGTCACAGCCTCAGTCACTGGGTGACCCTGAGCAAGTCTTTTTGCCCTCTGGGCTGTTGAATCTGCATCACAGTGGGTGCAAGATTGGAGTTCCTTAGATCTAAGGAGTCTTGAGTTTAAAAGCAGCAGCTTCCCAGGACCATCTGGAATGCTGAGGACGGGAAACTCAGGGGTGGAGCCCTCAGGGAGCTCAAGGTTGTGTGATCCACCCAACGGGACAGAAAGAAAAGGTGGGGAGAAAGGAGGGAGGGAGAGGGGGAGGATCATTTGGTATTTTTTCCTACCTTTTGGAACATTTTTTTGTGACCCAGGAGTTTTCGTGCTGTCTTTTAATCATATGTCTTCAGAATACGTAACTGAAGCCCATAGGGAGCCTAGTTCTAAACCTTCCCTGGCAGAGTCCAGTCTTCCTGTCTCCTTTTGACTGACAGTCACAGATGCCCCAATTCTTCTGAAGACTATGTCCTGTTGTAAGAGTGAAACCACGGAGGACAAGTCACGGCCTTTGGGTTGCAACAGCAAGAGGTTTATTCAGGACACAGGTACCTGTGGGCACAAAGTCTCCTCGGAGGACTTGCGCACCCCAGGTTGAGTTCAGGGGGTTTTTATAAGGCAGAAGCAGGGTACAGAAGCAGAAACGCGGTTATTGGTTAATTTCAAACACACATAGTAATTTTACCAGTAATTTCAAAGGTATGCAGAGATATGGGGTAAGGGCAGGGGCTGAGGGGAAGTGGGATTGTTAAATGGGAGGTGGCCTCAGAAGCACAGATGTTTTCTAAAGATTTCCTGGTATCGGGCCCTCAGGGTGGTCAGGAGTTCTGACCGTAAAGCCAGTTTACAGCTTGATCTGTGAAGCTTGACCGGCGCCTACCTGCCTTGCAGCCTTTAGATAAGGCTGGTCCTGGTTTCTGTTAAGTTATAACAAGTGGGCTGTGGGCCCCTGAGTACTCATGGCATCTAGTTTCTCTTTATTTTTCACTGTCTCAAGAGAGGATCAGCAAGCTCTGCAGTCCTCTATGCAGTGTGCCATGTTATCCTCTACTTGTTTTTATAAAGTTTTACTGAAACACAGCCAGAATTGTTTGTTTACGTCTTGTCTGTGGTGACTTTCAGCTTCTCAGGTGACAGATATGAGGGGTCACCACGAAGCCTGAATGGTTCACAAAGCCAAAAATATTCCCTGTCAGTTCCCTAACACAAAAGCGTAGTGGCCTCTGGCCGGCAGTTCAAGAAGAACAGCATGTTGGCAAGGGGTCTGCTGTTGAAGGGCTCAGGTCGTGCTGACTTGGTTCTCACAAGCTGCCTTCTTCAGTCTCAAAACCTGTAGTCTTAGACACTGAAAGTTCCCCTTGCCCCATACTGCAGGCTAAGACCAGGCAAGCCCGGGCATGCCCAGACATGTTGCAATTCTCCTTCCCAGAAGGCTATAGGTTCAGCAAGCCTGGGCATGTAAAAGACCACATAAGGTAAAGACCAGAAACTTCTGGCCCCACAGATAACAGTCAGCACATTCCAATGTCCCACCAATAGGAAACTTCCCCGTACTCAGTGCATGGGACCATCCAATCACTTTGAAAGATGCTTGGCGCCTTGCGGGCTTTCGTGAAACCTCCCTATAAAAAGCATGCCCAACCCTGGTTCGGGGCTCTCAGTTCAGCTTGGTGGGTGAATGCTGTAATTCTTCCTTGCTGATACTGGGGGCCCCGAGCTCGAGCCCGAAAACGAGCCAGACTCCCATTTGGCTTCTGGAGTCCACGCCTGACTAGTCGCTCTAGGATTGGACTTTTTCAATAAATTCAACCAAATTCCAAGTGCTGGTGAGTGGTCTCCAATTCTCGAGTCTGCGGACCCCAACACTGTCATGGTGGGGCTGAAGGCCCACAAAGCACAAGGCTTTTCTAGGGGATCTGGGACTGGGCACCCAGCTGAGATGAAGGACAGCTGTCACCCTGTTCCCAAGCCAAGTCACAGTAACTTTGCAATGCAAAGGTGAATCACACGCCCTGCCCCCAACTCAGCTGAAGCCATGTCTGGTGATGACCGAGTCTGCCTGAGATCCCCATAGCTGTGAGATGCCAACAGGCATCAGACATGCCCCACAGGGGACACTGAAGTGTGAAGGGATTCAGAATGCCAGCCCAGGAGTGGGGAGGGTCTCTGCCCTCTGCTGTGTGCGGGCAGGTTTCACTCACACACGCAGTCAGGGGAAGCCCCTGAGTTCCCCTGTCCTGTGTGGTGGCACACTCACTGGGTACACCCAGGGTACTCCGATGAGTGTCAGTCACTTGCCTGTGGAACTGAGCTTGGTGACAGACTGTCCCTTACTGGGTGAGGAATGGGGACATTTCCCTGTCCCCCCACCCACTAGGAATAAAAGAAAGCGGGTAAAAGTTCCTGTGGGCAGATTCTGGGCAGATGGAGGTACAGGCTGCTGGGTGGGAGTGTGTTTGGAGAGTGGGTTCCTGGGTAATAGCTATGTAATGGGCCAAAGGGCTTGCCTGTTCTCTCTTTCCCTCCTGATTGACCAAAATTAAAGCCTTGTTTTGAAAAGGGTAATGTTAGAGGGACAGCCCCCCAGCCAGGTCCAAAGGAGTCTTGAGATAGGAACACTGCAGCTTCAGGAGCGGGATATGAGTGAGAGGACTCTGGGGTGAACTTTCACAGCTGGACTCTCCTGAGCCCACCCTGGACTGTTAGGGGCAGAAGGCTTTGCCCAGCACGGGCAGCTGGAAGGAGGCCCAGGGTCTTCCCAGTGTATGGCTTCAAGAAAATAGCCCAGCCCTTAGGCTCTGCTTCTGCCCTCTTGAGTCAGGGCCCAGACCTGTGGCATGGCCAAGCTGAGTCCTCATCTCTCTGCAGAGGGATGATATGGAGGCCGTGCCAGGATACCTGTCCCTGCACCAGACAGCTGATGTCATGACCTTGAAGTGGACCCCCAACCAGCTGATGAATGGGTCTGTGGGAGACCTGGACTATGAGAAGAGGTAGGGTGCCCCCAAGTGTCCCCCAAGTCTCTCCACTCTCCTGGGTAGGGGAATGTTCCCTTCCTGGGGAGGGACTAGGTGTGCTCTGCCCCTGCTTGCCATCCTGTCTGGTTGCTGTGGTTACCTGGCCCTGCTGCTGTGGCCTGGGGGCGGGTGGCACTGGAGCTTTAAGAGGATCTGAAGACAAATGGGCAGAGCCTGGGGGTAGTGTGGTCAGGCAATGGTGTGGTGACAGGGCCACCCAGAAAGAGCCCTGTAAGGATTCCTTGAGTCTGCAAGTGGCAAGACAGGCCTGTCTCTACCCCATTACCCAATGAAAGGGAGACGGGTAATAGTTAGTAGATGTCATCCCTGATGGCTTGTCTCCTATGATATCTGCAATGTGTGAGGGCCAGCAAGGCTTTGGGGCCACTCTTGAAAAAATATACTGGACTCAGGGTTGGGGGGATCCTTCAGTAATGCTTGTTGTATTAGGTAGCTTTCCAATACTGTGACAAAATGCCTGAGGTAAAGCACTTCTAAGGAGGAAGGGTTTGTTTTGGCTCATGGTTTCAGAGGTTTTACTTGATTCTGTTGCTCTGGGTGTGGTGAATCAGATTACCAGATAGGAGCAGAGTACAGAGAAACAACTCACCTCACAGCAGCCAGGAAGCAGAAAGAGAGAGAGCGATAGACAGAAAGAGACATAGAGAGACAGAGAGACAGAAACACACAGTGAGATACAGAGAGCCAGAGAGAGGGGGGAAGGACAAGGTTGAGCGCCCGATATCTCCTGATATCCCACTACCCACCACTGAGTCCCCTTCGAGGCCACATCCCCAGTGACCTCACTTCCTCCCAGTATTCCCCACCTCCCAGTTTCTGTCAACTCCCAACAGTGCCATAGACTGGTGATCAGGCCTCTACCACATGGCCCTTTGGGAGACACACCAGATCTATTCTGTGCCATCTGTGTGACAACAAGGGAAGCTTTGGGACCAACAAGGGTGTTGCTGAGCTGAGTGTTGAGCAATTATTTCAGCTGTGGGAAAAGCAGGGCTGCTTCCTGTTCCTCCTCCCTCCTCCTCCTCCTCCTCCTCCTCCTTCTTTGGTCTTTTTGAGACAGGGTCTCCCTGCAGCTCCAGCTGTCCTGGAACTCACTATGTAGACCAGGCTGGCCTCAAACTCGAGACTCTGGCTTCCTGGAACTGCTGCCCAAACTGACTCTTCACCATGTATTTCAGACACGGTGCTTTTCTTTTCCTCTCCTCCTCCTCTCCCCCTCCTCCTCCCCCCCCTCCTTCAGATAGGGTCTTATTATGTAATTCTAGCTGGCCTAGAACTCACAATGTAGACGAAGCTGGCCTTGAACTCACAGAGATCCACCTGCCTCTGCCTTCCAAATGCAAGATTAAAGGGTATATGCCACCAAGTTCAGGTTTTCTTCCTTTAAAATGTTTTTACGATAAAGAATTTTAGCATAAAAGTAAGACGTGGGGCTAGAGAGATGGCTCAGAGGTCAGGAAGACTGGCTGCTCTTGCAGAGGACCCAACTTCAGTTCCTAGCACTCACATGGTAGCTAATGTCTGTTAACTCCAGTTCCAGGGGACTTGTCATCCTCTTCTGGCCACCATGGGGATTACATACACATAGTGCACTGATGTACAAGTAGGCAAAACACTCATACATATAAATAAAATAAGAATTTAAAAAATAGGGGCTAGAGAGATGGCTCAGTGGTTAAGAGCACTGATTGTTCTTGCAAAGACCTGGGTTTAATTCCGGACACCCACATGGTAGCTAACAATTGTCTATAACTCCAGTATCAGGGGAATCCAATGCCCTCTTCTGGCCTCCATGGGCATTGCATGACACAGGTGCACTAACACACATGTAGGCAATGCACTCATACACATTTTAAAAAAATAAAAATAGATAAGACCAGTCACCTGATTCCCAGTTCTCATCTAAACCCCTACTGACCACCTTAAAGCAGTTTTCAGATTGTCACTGTTTAAATACATCAGTAAAAATTAAGAAATCTTTCTTTTTAATTTTTATTACATTTTTATTTACTTTGTGTGAGTGTGCATGTGCCAGGGCACAAGAGTGGAGGTCAGAGGACAACATGCTGGAATTAGTTCTCTCCTACCCTGTGGGTCCTGGGGCTCGAACTCAGGTCATCAGGCTTGACAGCAAGCTCCTTTACTCGCTGAACTATCTCGCTAGCCTCAAGAAATCTCTTCAGGAAGCACAGCCCATACACTCCTGTTGTGTCATCTCAGGTTTCACTGACCTCAGGTCTTCAGGTGTCCAGCAGTTCTCTGTACGCTGGTTGCCTCCTGTCCCAGAGGTGGTCAGTGGCAGCTGTGGGCAAACTTGAATAGAGAGCCCAGCTCCAGACACACCCTGGAGTTCCATATCAAGAGACCTGGGTGGAGGAAGAGCAGGGGGAGGGCATGCCCATGGCCTGGACCCCAGTTACCTTGAGCCTTGGTATCAGGCTTTCTCTGGCCTCCCCAGGGAGTGAGGATCACAAGAACCCTGGGTCCCCTCTGCGGCATGTACCCAGTTGCCAGTCATGTGTACAATCTATGGGCCTTCCTCTATCTGTTCACCCTCTATCCTGAAGATGTGGGTCCTGCCTGGTTCACTTCTTTCCTGACACCTACCACAGACAACAGCACATACTAGGTGCTCAGATAATCTGTGAAATGGAGACTGGGGACCTGTGCTCCCCCAGCCAGTTTACTGAGCACCTGTCATTGCCAGGGAGGAGGCTGGTGAGTGAAAGGACAGGAAAGCTACCCCTGAAGGCTCCCAGGGCCCAGAATTCTTTTCAGTTCTGAGCAGATCATCTTGTCCAATTCTGTCACTTGACAGAAAGGAGAAATGGAGGCCCTAAGAGGCTATAGTGATTGCAGATCACCCAGCAAGGCAAGGATAGAGCTGGAATCTGGTCCCTAACACACTTTATCTGTTCCCTCTGAGCCTCTGTTTCCTCATCTATGGGATGGACACTCCAACAAGATCCATGTCACAGAGGTTCTGTGAGGATTAAACCTATCTGAAGGGCTCAGCTCAGAGCTGACACAGTTGGCTTAGGACACAGGACTTGGGACATGGTCACTTCAAGTACTGACTTAAGTGTGTCTGCTTCCAAGTTAGAGCCTGCTGCTGTCCTGAAACAAATCATTGTCCCTTCAGAACATCCTGGGAGCCTAGGAATGTACCTCTCAGAGCTTCCTACCTGGGAGGCTCAGAGGCTGTCTCAAGTCATACTGCTGGGCTGTGGGACATCAGAGCTGGGGAGTGGTTCTTCTAACTCTTGCCAACATGGTGGCCTGGAGGGATCTGAGCCACTCAAGGTGCTTAGCTGGCAGTTCCAGAAAAGCCAGGATCAAGCTGACTTAAATACCCATTCACATGATCTGAAGAACCCAGGGCCAGGGGCTTCAGGCCTGGCAAGATCCAGGGACTTGAATGATGGTGCCACACAGGCTTTCCTTGAGCAGTCCGGAACATCTGAGGATCTCTGGGCCTTTTAAACCTAAATCCAGTCATCTCTCACTGGTTCTGCTTGGGTCAGGAGGCCAACCCTGCACCATCACTGTGGTTGGGCAGTGAAATGTGCTGATTGGCTGGCCTGGGTTAGGTGACCATCCCTGTAGTCCTGGGGCAGAGACTTGACAGAGTCAGGTTCACTTAATCCACCCAGATGTTTGAAAGGAGTTTCCCTCAGAATGTTGAGGTGCTAGGACACAGCACAGATGTGACGCAGATGCTGGGAACAGTGATTTTAGTAAGAGGTGAAGATTCACGGGGCTGGTCTCCCTAAGCCCCTCCTACGATGAACCGGGCAGACTCCCCACCACTTCACCTTCCCCTTCCAGCGTCTACTGGGACTATGCAGTGACCATCCGCTTGGAGGAGATTGTGTATCTGCATTGCCACCAGCAAGGTAGGAACCATGGGGACAGCAGGTGGCAGGTCATTCACAGTGAACCCCTTCCCATGCCTTCCCCACCCCTGTTTGTTCATTAATATGATCAACAACATGATGGGCCTCTCATGTTGCTTGCACAGCTTCAAGCAGGCAGTGTTACCTCTCTGAACCCATGTCTTTGTGACTCCAGAGACAGTGCTCTACAGAACAGACATCAGTAACCATAGTATTCCATTAAAGCTGGAAGATGCAGTCAGAAGACGCAGGGCACCGTCCTCTGTTAAGAAAGCAGGTAGTTTGTGCCTTGCAAGGCCTGGCACACAGCGACGTAAGCCTTTTTAATGAGGCACACCTGGGTTCCCATCCAGGCTTTGTAACCTACCAGCTGTGTGACATTGGGGATGATTCTAAACTTCTCTCAGCCTCAGTTTCATCATCTGGAAAATAAAGAAGACTAGATAGCCCTCCCAGGGATGTTGTGCTTGTTACAGTAAGGCAGGCTTTCAACATGGAGTGCATTAAGTATGCACTGGTATGCATCAGGTACTGAATACATGCTAGAGGGTTGGAGTCACCTACAACCCAGAGCAGGACCCCTGGGTCCCATTGGTCCTAGGGGAATGTCTGTCCATCATGATGACACTCTACTGTCCTCTCTTGTCTGGTCATGGTGACAGTGGACAGTGGTGGAACCGTTGTGCTGGTGAGCCAGGATGGAATCCAGAGACCACCCTTTCACTTCCCTAAGGGCGGTCACCTGTTGCAGTTCCTCTCGTGCCTGGAGAATGGGCTGCTTCCGCATGGGCAACTGGACCCACCACTCTGGTCCCAGCGGGGAAAGGTGAGGGGCCAAGCTGTGGGGGACTTGAGGAAGCTGGGGTGGGGTCAGCCATGGGGGAGGTGGCGGTTCTTGCCTCTGGGCTGTGGTATCACTTGGTGGACTCCTGCACTCCCCTCTAAGACCCTCACTGGGGACAGTCATGGACATGGATGACTCTGAAGTTTGCCCTGGGATGTGTTCCCACAGGGGAAGGTATTTCCCAAGCTGCGCAAGCGGAGCCCTCAAGGGTCCTCAGAATCCACATCTTCTGATAAGGAGGATGATGAGGCCACAGACTACGTGTTCCGCATCATCTACCCTGGCATGCAATCTGAATTTGGTAAGCTACTGGCCCTCCTACCCTGCGCTTCCTGAACACCACCTCAAAGGTTTGCAACTAGGAGACAAGAGGTCTAGATTCTGGGGCCAGTGAATACTAGCTACTGTCTGATCCATCTTGTCTCACTTCAAATTATTATCAGGTATCAATGAGTTAGGAACGTGATTAGTGCACAGCCTGTGGGGTAAGGTCTCATGTGTAGGAGGCCCTGGGTAGTGATGGCTAAACAGCAGAAGAAATGCAAAGCTGAAGCCAGGATGGTGGTGATGGTGGTGATGATGGTGATGGTGGTAATGGTGGTGATGATGATGGTGATAGTGGTGATGATGGTGGTGATGATGATGATGGTGATGGTGGTGATGATGGTGATGGTGGTGATGGTGGTGGTGATGATGGTGATGATGGTGGTGATGATGGTGATGGTGGTAATGGTGGTGATGATGATGGTGATAGTGGTGATGATGGCAGTGATGATGATGTTGATGATGGTGATGGTGTTGGTGATGGCGGTGATGAGGTGATGATGGTGATGGTGGGGATGAGGTGATGATGGTGATGGTGTTGGTGATGGTGGTGATGAGGTGATGATGGTGGTGATTGTGATGGTGATGATGGTGGTGATGTGATGATGGTGATTGTGGTGATGGTGATGGTAATGATGATATGATGATGGTGATGATGAGGTAATGAGGATGATGATGGTGGTGATGATGATGATGGTGATGGTGGTGATGAGGTGATGGTGATGGTGATGATGATGGTGATGGTGTTGATGATAGTGGTGATGACGATGGTAATGATGGTGGTAATGGTGCTGATGATGATGGTGATGGTGTTGGTGATGGTGGTAATGATGATAGTGGTGATGATGATGGTGGTGATTGTGATGGTGATGATGATGGTGGTGATGTGATGATGGTGATTGTGGTGATGGTGATGGTAATGATGATATGATGATGGTGATGATGAGGTAATGAGGATGATGATGGTGGTGATGTGATGATGGTGATTGTGGTGATGGTGATGGTAATGATGATATGATGATGGTGATGATGAGGTAATGAGGATGATGATAGTGGTGATGATGATGATGAGGTAATGATATAAGAGTGATGATGATGGTGGCTATTGTGATGGTGGTGATGATAGTGATGTTAGTGATGATGGTGGTGATGATGATGGTGGTGATTATAGTGATGCTGATGGTGATGTTGAGTATGGTACTGATAGGGGAAATTTGTATAGAAAAGATGCTTAACTAATAGCATCTTACCACTAAGATCATTATGATCATAATAAGGTTTTTGTGAACATCCAGTGAATTCATATTTGACAAGTATGCCGATGGGCCTGGCATTTATTTAACACCTTGTGGGTAGCTGTCAAACAGATCAATACAGAGGTACACGCTTTTTTCTGTTGATGGCAAATAAAGGAAGGCTCTGAATGGGAGCACAGACTTGGCCCCTAGGTTGGGAATCAGCTCCCCCACTGAGGAGCTGGGTGCTGTGCCTCAGTTCTCTATCTGTGAAGGCAAAAATGAGAGCACCCACACCCTGTAACTGACAGCTGCTGTTGGTGAAAAGAAAAGGGAGACCAGTGAAGACTGGGGTGGGGCTCTGTCTGTAAAGTGCTGGTCACACAAGCATGGTGACCTACTTTTAATTTCCAGAATCCACATGAAAAAAGCCAGGCATGGCACTGAGGGATGGCCCAGTGGGTATGAACACTTGCTGTGCAAGCATGAGACTCTGAGTTCAAATTCACACCACTATGTGGAAAGCCAGTCACAGCTGAGTATGCCTGTAACCCCAGCACCCAGAGACAGAGGCAGGTGGATCTGGTGAGCCAATGGCCAGGCAGCCAAATGTTGAATGGTGAGCTTCTGGTTCAGCAAAAGACCCTACAGCAACAAAAGAAGTCACCCTGAAGTCCTACTCTGGCTGCCACATACACACATAGTGGCACATATATCAGTACCGAGAGAGAGAGAGAGAGAGAGAGAGAGAGAGAGAGAGAGAGAGAGGAGATGCTAGGCATGATGGTGGGTTCTTGTAATCCCAGTACTGGGTAGGCAGAGTCAGGCAGATCACTGGGGTGTGCTAGCCAGTCAGCTTGGCCTCCTTGGCAAGTTCCAGGCCAGTGAGAGACCCTGTCTCAGAAAACAAGGTGCGTGGTATCAGAGGAACCACACCTGAGCTTGACCCTCTACATATATGCATGCTCACAAACATGTACAGGCAATCATACACATGTGCACACCACACACACACACACACACACACACACACGCAGAGAATAGAGTAGATCCAGGTGTGATGCAGTGTAACTGTAATCCCAATGCTCAGGTTGTTGAGGCAGGAGGATCGTGAATTTGAGACTGACCTGGACTGCAGGGCAAGACCCTTTCTCAAAAGGAAAGAAATCCCCAGCTCTGCCTGGGACTTTATGGTGGGGCAAGTGATGGCACTGTGCCACTGTTCTACGAAACCAGAAACTAACTGCAGATTTTACAGGTCACTGAAAATAAATGGCAAGCCTAGCCCAGCGCCCCGCCCAGAGAAGGCCTTTTACAAGTGCCTACACCCTTCCCTCCTCTGAGCAGTTGTGTGGAGCAGGAGAGGGGGAGGAAGGGACCTTGGGGAGTTGGCTTCTCTGGTGGTCTCTGTCTACCCACCTCAGTCCTCCCCCTTCATCATGTCTTTTTGTTTTCTGTCTCAAGTTGCCCCTGACCTCTTGGGCAGCCCTCAGCCTGTGTCTGTGGGCCCTGCCTGGATGATGCTTGCTGCTGGCCAGTCCATGCTGGTGGTGGCCAGGGGGATCCAGTGGGCACAAACCAGAAGGGATCCTGCCCTCCCCACACCAGTCCTGAAGGAGTATCACCCCAGTAATGTCTGGTTCCCACTTCGTCAGGGGCTGGGTACCAGCCATCTCGACCATGTTGTCATTTGAGTTGTGGTCCCAAGGAAGATGGAAACAGAAGATCTATTAGTGCTGTCTGCTTGGCATAAGGTTAGGGGTGGAGGTGGGATTGCTGCCCTGTGCTTCCCTGCACAGGCTGAGAACTGGGATGTTTTCTCAAAAGCACAGTGGTGAGTCTGCATAGGGAGGAAGTGTGGGGCCAGAACTGATTTCTGTAGCCAGCTTCCTTCCCTGTCCAGTGGATGCAGGTGACCCAGTCAGCCACTGAGCTCTCGTAACAAGCAGTGAAATCCACATGTGCAAGTCTCTCTCCCCTTGGAGTTGAGAAAGAGCTGAGGGGACAGCAGGCAGATGGGAAACTTTGCACCTGTCTGTTTCCTGGGGCAGGGACTAGCAATCCGTGACCCTGTTCTGCACAACTCGTGATGCGAGAATGGTTAAGTGCTCCTGAGTACCTAAAAAAAAATCAAAAGAAAGCCAGGTCTCCAGCCATTCAGGTGGCTCAGTAGGTAAAGTCTCTCACTGAGGAGACTGAGAACCTGAGTTCAATCCCTGGAATCCATGTGGTGGAAAGAGAGAGGATCCTTAGAAGTCACACACACACAAGAAATGGACCCAGGTTTGGTTCCCAGCACCCACATGGCAGCTAATAACTTTCAGCAACTCTAGTTCTAGGGGATCTGACACCTTCTTCTGGCCTTTGTGGGCATTGCACATACACGGTGCATTTACATACATGCAAACAAAATACTCATACACATAAAAAATAAAAATAAAATTAAGGCCAGGTGTGGTGGTCCATGCCTTTAATCCTAGCACTCAGGAGGCAGAGGCAGACAGATCTCTGTGAGATTGAGGCTAGCCTGGTCTACATAGTGAATTCCAGGCCAGCTGAGGCTATAGGGAGACCCTGTCTCAAAAAAGTGGGGAGCTGGAGAGATGGCTCAGCAGTTAAGAGCACTGACTGCTTTTGCAGAGGACCCAGGTTCGATTCCCAGCACCCACCTGATAGCTAACACTTGTCCATAACTTCATTTCTAGGGGAATCCAATGCCTTCTTCTCACCTCCATGGGCAGTGCATGACATGGATGCACTTACATATGTGTAGGCAATATACTCGTACACATAAAAATAATAAAATTTATTGAAAAATCCACATGCAAAATAAATAAAACACACGCAAATAAATATTAAAAACTATTTTTATTTTATGGGTATGAGTATATTGCCTGCATATATGTAAGTACACCCATGTCGTGCCATAATCATGGAGGTCAGAAGAGGCTGTTGGTTCCTGTGGAACTGGAGTTGTGGATAGTTGTTAGCCGCCATGAGGGTGCTGAGAACCAAACCCAGGCCCTCTGCAAGAACTACCAGTGCTCTCCAGTCCTCTAAAAACTTTTTTTAAAGAAAGCCAGACCTGATGGTACACACCTGTATTCCCAGAACTTAGGGGGCTGAGGCAGAAGGATCATGAGTTTGAGGCCAGCCTGGGCTACCTTGTTAGATACACACACACACACACACACACACAGAGAGAAAAACATCAAGAGACTGGAGGCATAAGAAAAGGGCAGAAGTGTCCTGGTGTCCAGCGCAGGTCTGTGGCATAGACCCATGGTAGTTTGTGTTTCGTGGTGGCCACATCTACACAGTGACAGCACAGCTGAGTGATCCTGACAAGAAACAGAACAGCACAGGAACCTCAAATACTCCCTGACCTTTTGTGGAAAAGGTTTACCCAGCTCCATGATAGAGAAAACAAAACTTTGCCCCCATCTAGAACTCCTGTGAGATGGAGAAGCAGAGTACTGAGGTCACGCCCCTGTGACAGAACTGTGTCTGCAATGTGACAGAGATGTGATTTTCAGGACACTAGGAAAAGGAAATTTAGAGAGCATACGTACCGGATCTGAGGGGAGCTGCCTGAGATAGTCGGCATACACGGGTCAGGAGATCAGGGTCATCGATGCAGTTGTGTGCCCACGTGGTCTCAAAGAATAGAAATTAGAGGGCTCTAGCTCTAGCACATTTTAATTCAGTGGGTCAGGGGTGCCAGATGATCATGTGGTCTTTCTAAGGAGCCCCCCTGCCCCACTTTGAGCCTCAGGTTGGAGGGGCTTCATAGTTCAGGACCACAGACAGCGCTGATGCTCCCCCTGTAAGTCCAGGCCTAGACATCAGGCCTCAGCCTTCGCAGAAGCACCTGGCAGGTTCCTCTTCCCCTCCTGTGGGCATGACTAAATGACAACATGGAGAGGCAAGGCTGTCTGCTCTGGGATGGGCCTGTCTGCTTGGCTCTGCTCCCTCGTCTCTTCTTCCCTCTCTGGCTGCCCTCAGCTCTGCCGGGGCCTCTGATGAATCGTGGTAGTGGCTTTCATTAGATCAGGTGGGCTCAAGGATCTACATCAGACTGTGATCGGGTGCATTGCAGACTGTCACACTCAGGACTTTCCTGTCTCTGGGCCAGCCTCGGGGAGCTGCTTGCTTTGGGGTGAGGTTTCTGGAACTCACCTGGGTTTAACCAAGGCTCCTCTTGGTCCCCTTTTGCATGCACCACAGTGCCCCAGGATCTGATGGATGTCTCTGTGAGCAACCTCCCGTCCCTATGGCAACCCAGCCCCCGGAAGTCTTCCTGTTCTTCTTGTTCACAGAGTGGCTCAGCTGAGGGCAGCTCAACCAATGGCTGCAACCATGAGAGGTAGGTGGGGCTTGGACTATAGATGGAAGAGCCCTGAAGCAAAGACCTTAGACCTGCCTGTCTCTTGCCCTGAGATGCATTTGGAGGCACAAACATGGCCTATGGAATCCAACAGCTAGTTAAACCCTGGCCTTGTGTAGTTCTAGCAGTCTTAACAGTCTGAGTTCACTATCAGTCAGGATAAACAAAGTTCTGCTGCAGTAACAAACAGTCCTGAAACATCAATGGATTTTTACAGCAAATGGTGAAGTATTCTGCAGACTGTGAGCCTGTCACAAGTCTGCTTTCTGATGGAACAGCCCCTGTCTTGGATGTCATGTCACCAACCCACCAACCACAGTGTCAAGAGGCAATGCTATTTCTGCTTCCAATTTGTTGATTTCCCCCCCCCCCACACACACACATCTTTCACTCATCAATCTCCATTTTCCTGGCAAGACGGTAAGGTCTGTGATAGCACATGCTACATTCAAGCTAAGCAGGACAGCAGCTATTTAGAGGGCTTACTGACTGTGATTGATTAAAGACCCTCTTTTCATTCAAGGCATGAGGTGAAGGAGGATCAGAAAATGTGGTGGACATTTTTCAGTAATGAGGGTTGTCCTTCAGTGTCCATAGAATGTTGGTTTCAAGACTTCTAATGAATACCAAAATCCACTCAAGTCTCTTATATAAATGGAAAAGCATCTTTGCCATACACACCCTCCTACATGTTTTAAATCATCTTCAATGACTTATAGTACCTAATAAACTACAAATAAATACTATGTTGTGGTTAAACCTGTACAGTTTAAAGAATAATGACAAGAAGACAGA